GGGGGAAAAAGAAAAAAGAAGAAGATCTTCCAGTTTTTTGTGAGACTGAGTGGTACCAGTGTGTCTCCTCCAACTGTATCATTAATGGTTTTAAAGACTTTGAAAGCAATCCTAACTTAATGGTGGTGCTTCTTGCTATTGTGCATGGTCGTAGTGGTGGAGAGGGTGGGTTACGTAGCTAACATGCGCATCTTTAGTGCTTGGTTTGGTTTTTTTTTTTTTTTTCTTAGGAGGTTTGGCAGTAAATGAATAAAACAGACACTCCTGTTATATATATGTATTGGCCATCGGACATCGTGCTGTGCTTTGCTGGATACCTCATCTTCTAGTACTGTTATTCATTTATGGTTCATATATATCACAGCTGTATTATGCATATCTCTCTCTCAAGAAAATTATTAGGGTTTTCCTTGACAATGAGAGAGATGACAGGGAGGAGAGAGAAATGAGGAGAGAGAGAAAGAGACCTTCATCTGGGTACGGCGGTTTTGGAACCAAAACTTGACTTGGCGAGGTTTAAGGCCGAGATCTTGGCTTAGTTTCAGCCGTTGTTTGTCATCTGGGTGTGGACATTCCTTAAACAATCTGGGGAGAGAGAGAGAGAGATTAATTAATTATTACAAAAAAAATCATTAAACTATTACAACATTAAAAAAAACGTGTCTTTAATTAAATTAAAAAAAAGAAAAAAAAAAGTACGATTCCATTTCTTGGATCTGACGGGTGGTGTGGCGGTGGTAGCGTTTCTTCTTGTTCTTGGGGTTGTTTTGCTCCGCCGCCTGGTCTTGTTCGTTGCCGGAAACGCCGTCCACGTGTTCGCTGCCGGAGCCACTCTCCATCTCTTCTAGTTTGCTTTTTTCTTCCTTCTGTTTTTTTTTTTTAAATCAATATTAATAAATATAAAGATATGAAAATATAATTTATAAAAAATGAAAAAAGACACACACATACCGGTGTAACAGGAGAGAAAATGTTGAAAGGGTTGATGTTAGGCATGAAACTGAAATTAGGGTTCTGCTGGTGGTGGTGGTGGTGGTGGATCGGTGAAGAAGAGTAGAGTACTGAATTCTCCGATGAGGGTATTGCATTAATATTCCCTCCCATCGTTGACAACACTTGACAATCTCCATACATTTTCTTTTCTTTTTTTAATCAATTAATTAATCTTCTTCAACAAGATCCTGTCACAACAAAAAATTAAAAAAAAAAATAGAAAAATCAGACCAAATATATATACATAAAGAGCATTTCAAGAACACTGATAGAAACCCCATCAAAATGGCTACCCCGGAATATATATTTATATACAATCTTCCCAAAATAATTCCTTGCAAAAACATTTAAGAGAGAGAAAGAAAGAAGAAAGAAGAACACCAACCACCATTAATTAACCATTTTGATTTTTTTTTTTTTTTTATATTTCCAAAAGCATAACAAAAAAAAAAAAAAGAAAAAAGAGGGATAGAAATACTAAATACCCGCCTTGGCCGTGTCGGGTGAGCAAAATTAAAAACTCTCTTCGTTCTCCTCTTCTTC